TAAACTTATTCATATGTAAACTTAAGTAAAGTAACTTACAATCATTTTCCAAATCGTCAGTTTCATCTGCCCATGAGTTCACAGATTTGGATGCAAGTATATAGCTACTACCTGGAGCTCCACCTCCACCATCTTTCGAGAGGAATTCATTTAAGCTTAGGGTTGTCTTTCCCTTCTTGCCCTTCTTCTTGCCTGCCATTATGGAAAATTAAAAAAAAATATTAGTTATAAAATGGTTTAGTAAAGATCAACTCATCTCTTCATGACATGACAGAATACATATTGTTTAAATGTACAAAGAACTGAAATCATACAGCAATGTTATAAATTATGACATAATGTACAATGTAGATGGAAAGTTTGATTGAAGTCAGTTGATGTATGTCAGAGACGTGGGTCCATAATGCAACAGCATTCATTAATACACAATTGCTGACATTCAGCTCGTTTTAATCTCAATGTACCAATGTAGTGTATATAATACAATATGTACGATCAAGATCAGGGTATGGAATAGCAGAAATTCTTGATTTTAATGCATTTTTAACATTAAAATGGCCACCTGGATTTTGTAACAAACGCATGTACTGGGGGGGGGGGTGTTACATATGTAATGGCAGAATGTCTGATACATATAAACGGTCAAGGCATGTCGGAGTTTTTGCCCTTATAATTGATTTTCTCCTGTGTATTGAGTATACCATGGAATCTGTCAAAACAATAGGAAATGTTCAAATATACTCAAGTATGCTAAGCGATCACGGAAACATTTTACCTGAGAAAACATTATATCACACATGCACATAGTGTAGTGCAAACTATTAAAATTTGAATGCAATTTAAGTAATAAGGCCGGTGCTGTTCTTTACAAACCCATTCATTATGCAGAGTTAAAAAAAAATTACATTGTTTTTCTTATCTGTGTGAACCACATTTAATTTTTTCAGCATAGAATGCATGCAGTAACTTAATATGTAATAAACATACGATTTTCTCAAAAGTAAGGTCTGTATTTTTGCACATACATGTATCAACAGAAGGTGGATGGCAAAGACTAGTTATTAAAAACAGAAAACCAATTTTCTCAAACTTTCAAAGGTTTGAATTCCATAAATATACTGACACTGTTGTTAACATTCTGTTTGGAATAATTTATAGTCTCTCAAAATAGTCAAATCGGAGTTGCTGAAAAAATAAATAATTTGGACAATCTTTCTAATCTACACTTACAAACAGCAAACTTGGGAGAACAACACTAATAATAATAATACCAACACAATTTTTCACTCAACGATGGGAAAGCTAAACAGGGAGCACCGACCATCTGTCAGCAACACATGTCACTAAGATAACATTCCAATTTATTACTATCAAAATCACCAATGATGAATAAAATACTGTGACAGTCATTGTGAAAGAAATGAATCATTATTATTAAAGTCAATATATGTACATTGTATATGTAGAAGCAAACAGACCATTGCTACCTCGCCGACAGGTACTAAGCCACGGGGCTTGTATTTTGTCCTCAGTGTTTTTCCCTGTTGTCCAGTCTACTGTTTCCACTGATCTATGTTACCATGGTAATTGGAACAGTTGATGAAAAGTAAGAACACTTTTTGATGGGACAAAAATAAGTCTTGTGGTATTCATGCTGTCAATGAGTCTTGGCAGTCATTTGTATCCAAGGCGTACTGTTGATAACTAAAGTGTTCAAACCAGTCTTCACTGAGGACAGGAATAGAACAGTGTCAGACAGCTTTACATCCCCAGCAACTGGACACCATTGACCCAACTAGGAATATCACAAGCGTAGCAAGATGGATGGTAGAAAGTACTCTTTAAGTAATCTTTTCCCCCTGCTTAGTGTACAGCCAAACATGGAAGTCACCAACAATCTCACGAATACTGGGGGGGGGGGCACATCAGACATTACGTCACTGCCAGGTTTTATCATTGATCACCACTTATAGATGTTAAAGGGCAGTGTGTGTCTGAATTTCATATGAACAAATAAAGTATTTTACTAAGATTGTTTACATCGCTATAAGTCTCATTTTGAACAGTACTATGCTTAACGACTACCGCCATTTAAACCAGCGTTGTAGGGCTTCATTTCGATGATGCTAAGTAGATCTAATTATAAAATTAGACTATTTATGCATCTGATGTAAACAGAGGGGTTATAAACTCATTTCATTTAAGATATCCACTATTCTAGAGCGCAAACAGCATTTTATGAGATAAAAATGCATTACAGAAACACCACAAACTTTGTATCAGTGAACATTTAACTGTTACAGAACATCGATGACAAAAAGTTAGGTTTACGGCAGGCAACAGAATAAATGATCATGA